ATAAAAATTACAAAAAATCAAACGGTAAACAAAACATTAACAAACATTTTGACCACGTTTACACTGAAGCGAATTAATTAAATGAAAAAAGTTGATTTCGCCGGCCTAGAAACTCCACTTGGTTAAATGCGCCTTGAGGTGAAAAAAAAACAATTACCGTGTATATTGTTTTTGTTTTCAGTGTAACAATTGTCAAAATCATAGCAAGTTCATACAATTCGCTTTTGTCAAATGGAATCAAATTTCAAAACAAAAGTCTGAAAAGAAGAAGAACAAAAGATAAAATTGAGCCGTTGGCTTTAAAAATCAAAGTTTGCTAATTTAAATTGCATTAAAAGTAGAGTAGTTTCCCTTAATGGAGTTATTTCTTACCAGCTCCTTTGTAAGGGAATTTTTTAAGCAATGACCATTAGACTGATTCATTGGCCAATCTCAAGAGGTTATTAGAATTACCGTACTTTTGCAGTTTCTGTAACTGCCGCTGTGTTGGTAGTTGCAGTTTATATACAAACATATGTATGTAATTGATTATAGTTAGTATTGGAAAGATATATTATATTTAACTATAATATTATATAAACGTAAATTTCTTTTAAGAAAATGGTCTATGTACACTAAGCCCCTTCTTAAATTTCTTTGGCTAACACGAATCTAGAAAGATGTAGGTTCTTCATCTTGTGAAACTTTGAAAAATTATAGATCAAGAAGCCATAGCCATTTTTACAGGCGGCTCAAAGCTCGATGAAAAGGCGGGCTCTCAATAGTGAGATAGCAAGAATATCAGTTACTGTAGATGCCGATAGTTAAGTTGCCATCAGATCTCTACAGTTTAACAGTACCACATCTAAAGTGGCTATAAAATGTAGAAACAATCTGGGAAAACTCTCGGCTAAAGGCAACACTACAGGAATCTCGTTGCTTCTATAATGTGCACGAAATGGTTCGAAAATTTGAGAAAGTGAAGATAAAACCCTTATAATAGCGGTATCAAAATGGGCAGATTGCCGTAAGTGCGTTAGTCACTGATTAATAACCGCATAAATTCAACTCAAATCAAAATCGAAACCAATCTTTTATTTGGAAAAGCCACAAATCTTATCTGAAAATTTTCAGCTATGCAATTAGAGATTCAAAATAAAAGTAACAACAAATCAAAAGGTAAACAAATATACAAAAGATAAATAAACATTTTGACTACTTTTACACTGAAGCGAATTAATTAAATGAAAAAATTTGAATTCGCTGCCTTAGCAACTCCACATTGCTAAATTCGCCTTGCATTTGAGCAATTGAGCAACGAACGTGTATCGAGGTGCTGACACTGCCGGATACCCAGGTATCTAGCGGTCTATTAGTTAGGGTGTATAACAAGGAAAATTGTTATTTATTGAGTAATAAATAAGGTTGTTTGAAATCTTCACAATTGAAAAATGTACCACAAATTTGGTGACTTTTATTTAACAATCTAGGGTTCGAACTCCATGAATATGTGAAATCAGTAGGGAGCGCGTAAAGAGATAAGTACAACAATTTTTTTTATGGAATTAGAAAGTTGCTCGACACTAACGACTTTGCGGCAATTAGAGCAAATCTAGACATCTTTCAATAATTATTTTACGGTCTCTGCCCATAACATTTCATTAAAGCCCCATGGATTAGTGTCAATTCTTCAAATTTAGAAAAATTTGCATCGTACTAATTATTATAGCATTATTTTTAATTAGCAAATTTGCATAGTGGAAGGAAGCTGTCCTCGTCGAAACTTTTTTTCGAAAGAAAAAATGTATCTTCGATCACTAATTTTGCCAAACAATTTTTTTTTGCGACTTTTATTTCATTTTCAATTCACTAGTTTTCTGGAGCATGGGTGATATATGTATGGTTTTAAATAATATCCCTAAATACTTTCGTTTACGTGAAATGGACCTGTTACGAACGGTCTGGCAGCGCAGTCAACGTAAGTCCTGCTTACTAAGCTTACGTTTTGTATACGTGGCGAATTGTGATTGGCTAACTAAATTGAAGTGGAAAAAAGGGGAGCAGTCTGGCTCAGCTCCCGCTCAGAAGATAAAAGCTATGTCAGAAACGAAGTAGAGGGCAGAGCGACACGAGTAAATTTTTAATTCTCATAAGTGAACTTGTAAATTTAATTAATTATAAATGTATTAAATTTAAATAAAGTTATACTTGAATTGTAAAAATTTTCGGATTTTTTTAACATCTTAAAAATTTACTCTGCCCTCATCGCGAATTTCTAACTACATAAACATTGAAAATTACAATGCCGGTTACTACTGCCAACATGGACGAGGCAGCCGCTGTGCCAGCTAATTTCGCTGTGTTACCTAATTCAACGGCTGCATCCATTGTTCCTGGTTCTATTAATGCAGCTTCGCAGCAACACGTCCCTGAGTCGTTAACAGGCAATACAGTGCCGATTCAGAGGAATCAGCGAATAAGCCCGGCTCACTCCGTAAACTCTGTCGGTTCACAAGGTCTTCGTCGCAGGGCCGAATTGCTACATGAGCAAAGCGAAATCCTGAGACAGAGGGAGGCGTTACTCAGAGAAGAATACAGCTTTCTCGATCGCAATGAAAGTCAATATGCTATGCCTGGGGCTTCAACCGCCATGAGGGAATTGGCACTTAATACAACACAGACCTTACAGTTACCTCCAAATTTGGTGGCGCCACTTAGAACGTCAACTGTCCAGCAACCAGAAAGTGATCTGTCCACACCTATCATTCAGTCGCTATTGGACCGAATACAGTCACTTGAACAGCAGTTACAACGCAACTCAGTTAGCAATACGGAACGCTCTCCACAGCTGCCAGCGCATACAACATTGCCTACAAACGGTCACGTTGACAGCTTGCGCTTTGATGCGCCTGCTTATCGCCGACTAACCAGGGATCAGGTAGCTTCCCGCAGCAGCCTATCAAAAGAACTATCCAAATATGACGGTAAGCCGAGTGAGTGGCCTTTGTTTTATGCTGCTTATACGCAATCGACAGAGGTTTGTGGATTCTCAGACGAAGAGAATCTGCTAAGGCTACGACAAGCATTGCACTCGTCATGCGTTCGACAAATTATTGCTACTCTTCAAATGCGATTTGGGCGGCCAGAATTAATCATCGGTGTCTTGCAGCCTCAAATTTGTGATCTACCATCGCCATCAGAAAGCCAGCTAGAATCTATTGTCGATTTTGCCGTCGAAGTACAAAATATTTGTGCAACCATGTCTGCTTCAGGCCTGACTTGCCACTTGAATAATCCGGAATTCGAACAGAGACTTGTTTGAAAATTACCTGGACTCTTATCGGCCTACTGGGGAATGCATAAGCGGAGTTTGCCGGCTTGTAACGTGCAGCAATTCAGCGACTGGATTTTTCAAATAGCACAAGGAGCCAATTGCGTAATTGTACCAAAGGATTCAATAAGAATCCGCAAGCGCGGTACAATTAATCATCATTTTAGTTCGGTAAGATGTATCGTTTGCAACGAAAACTGTAGTAATGTGTCTAATTGTACCCTTTTTAAGGTAATGTCACGTGGTCAGAAGTGGCATCTAGTTCGCAAGTTTAAATTATGCCACCGGTGCTTGGAGAAGCATCCGGCTAATAGCTGTAAATTGACCGAACCGTGCGGCTGTTATCGCAACCACCATCCGCTCCTACACAATACAGAGTTAGTTGTTGCGCTGAATATGAAATCGTCAAGAAAAATCAATGCGAATGTCAGAGCACCAGCAGCTGATGTTAACGCGCATAGCTCGGTCCAAAACAGTACATTATTTCGAGTTCTTCCAGTAGTTTTATACTCAGGCCATAGTAAGGTGAAAACATACGCATTCATAGATGATGGCTCGTCTCTCACACTCATCGACGAAGAGCTCCTGTTGAAATTAAACATAACAGGCACTCCACAACCACTCTGCTTACGTTGGACCGGCGATACTCATCGGTACGAGACCGAATCTGTCGTAGTTGACCTAGCCATTTCAGCTAAAGACAGCAATAGGAAATTTTCTTTAAAAGGCGTTCGCTCAGTAAAAAAGGCTAGATTTGCCTATGCAATCACTTAACGCTGCCAAACTGCAGTGTGATTTCAAATATTTAAAAGGGTTACCATTGCATTCTTACTCAAACGCTGCGCCACAATTGCTAATTGGGTTAAATAATGCTACATTAAGGTCCCCAATCAAGTCGTTATATGGTGCAGAAAATGAGCCAATTGCCGAAAAATGTAAATTGGGATGGCCATTAAAAGGACTGAAACCTGAAACCGGTGTCTTTGCTATACATCACGTATACCACATTTGTGATTGCTCTGCCCAATCTGAGCTGCATCAATTAACTAAAGCGTACATCTGTCTCGATAATTTAGGAGTATCAGCCAAATCCGCTCCCTTAATGTCCCCAGAGGACGAGCTCGCTTTACAACAATTACAACAACATACCATTCGATTGGGAAACCGTTTTGAAACCGGCTTATTGTGGAAACATCAGGACATTCATCCCCCTAATAGCCTCTCAATGGCCTTATCCCGGGCGCAATGCCTTCGCAGAAAAATGCAACGTGACCGTATCCTAGCTAAGGTTCTCCAAAAAAAAGATTGATGCTTATATACAGAAGGGTTATGTCAGATGATTGACACCGAGTGATGCTGCCGTTGAAAAATATTGGTATTTACCTATTTTTGCAGTAAGCAACATTAATAAACCAGGAAAGGTTCGTATAGTATGGGACGCTGCCATGGTCGATGGAATGTCCGTGAATAGTATGTTGCTTAAGGGTCCAGACCTCACGACTCCTCTACTCTCCGTGCTGTTTAAGTTCCGTCAAAGACCGATTGCTATCACGGCGGATATTGCAGAAATGTTTCATCAGGTACGCGTGCGGCAAGAAGATCAAAATTTCTTACGTTTTCTATGGTATGAACCAAACGCCACTGAGCCCACTACCTTTGTGATGACAGTAATGACCTTCAGAGCCTCATGTTCACCAAGCTGTGCCCAATTTGTAAAAAATAAGAATGCAGAAGAGTTTTAGCAAGAATTTCCTGATGCGTCGCGATGTATTATCGAGAACCACTACGTCGATGACATGCTGGTAAGTGTGGATACAGAAGAAGATGCTATTAAGTTAGCGCAACAGGTTCGTCATGTTCATAAGATGGGGGGTTTTAATATAAGAAATTTTTTATCGAACTCGAGTCAAGTATTAGCTGCCCTAAATGAAAATGCGACTGAGGAGCTATCTCTTGATCTAGAAAATGAACTGCCTACTGAAAAGATTTTAGGCATGTGGTGGGTCACCGCTAGTGATCATTTCGCGTTTCGTATATCTGCTGAGTACCGGGATTCCGACCTCATTCTCCAGGAGCGGCGACCAACCAAGCGTGAAGTCTTGAGATTGGTTATGACTATATTCGACCCACTTGGACTCCTTGGCTTTTATGTCGTATACGCCAAAGTTATTTTGCAAGAGATATGGAGACTTGGATGCGAATGGGATAGCCCAATTCCAGATGACCAATTCAATAAATGGTTAAAATGGCTTAAGCTCATTCCAAAAATAGAGCACCTTAGAATTCCACAATGCTATCAGCAAAAAAGTTTTGGCAGAACACCTAAAATAGAATTGCACACATTTGTTGACGCAAGTGAAAGCAGCTATGCGGCATTGTCCTATCTCCGATAATCTTATGACAATGTAATTAACTGTACTATGGTCGCCAGTAAAACTAGGGTAGCCCCACTCAAACTAATATCCATACCTCGTCTTGAGCTGAAAGCGGCACTTTTGGGAGCTCGCCTTGCGAGATACATCATCGAATCTCGTTCTATCCACGTTGATAGCAATGTATATTGGTCAGAACAGAACAGTGCTAGCCTGGATTAATGCTGATCATCGCCGCTACAAGCAATTTGTGGCTTTTCGAGTTAGCGAGATTTTAGAACTGACTGACGCAAAGGAGTGGCGTTGGGTTCCAACGAATGAAAATGTAGCCGATGAAGCCACCAAGTGGCATGGTGAACCAGATTTTTCAAATAACAGTCGATGGTTTAGAGGACCATCGTTTTTGTACCGTCCTCGAGATGAATGGCCTGCGCCCGACAAACATCATAGTGCTCCAACTGAAGAGCTACGGCCACAGTTTATTGGAGCTCATAATTCAAAATCAGATCAAATTCAGGTAGTTCCAGAAATTTTAAGATTTTCTACTTGGAACCGTCTCCTTCAAGCAACCGCTATGGCACTGTTTTGTTCTCGAGTTTGGCTAAACGTTATTCGAAAATATCAGTCGGTGGGCGATGTTCCAAGCACTGAAGACTTTCGAAATGCGGAGCGCTTGCTTTGGAAAAAAGCTCAATATGACAGTTTCAAAGATTCTATAGCGTCCCGAGAAGCTGATAAGGCTGTGAACAAATCGAGCAACATTTTCAAGCTTTCACCTTATCTGGATGACTATAGAGTTTTGAGAATAAATGGCAGAGTTAAAATAATGGGGCGAGCAGACCAAGTTTTATTACCATCTAATCACTATATTACACATCTTATCATAAACCACTTTCATGTCAAGTATCACCACGGTAGCTTGGAGACAGGCTTATTGGATCATAAAACTTCGTACAATGGCCAACAAAACTCGACAGAATTGCCAAGTTTGTAAAAACAGAGCTGCTCAACCTCGACCACCTATGATGGCATGTTTACCCCCAGTCCGCACTTCAGCAATTGGTCGCCCATTTACCTACGTAGGCGTTGATTATTTTGGTCCACTTTTTGTTGCAGTGAAGAGAAGTACCGAGAAGAGATACGGAGTGTTGTTCACTTGCTTAACAACCAGAGCAGTTCACCTGGAAATTGCATACTCGCTGTCTACAGACTCTTGCATTTTGGCCGTGCGTAATTTTATAGCTCGCAGAGGGAGCCCATTGGAGATGTGGAGTGACAACGGCACAAATTTTAAAGGTGCCGAGAGGGAGTTGAAGTCAGCGTTTGAACTCCTCGATAAAAATCTTATGATTAAAACTTTCACTTCGGCTTCGACTAGTTGGCGTTTTATACCACCATCGTCGCCCCATATGGGCGGAGCTTGGGAACGACTTGTTCGCTCGGTAAAGCAGATACTTGTACAGATTTTAACAACCAGTCGCATGAATGATGAGCTTCTACGCGCTGCTTTAATGGAGGTGGAGATGACGGTTAATTCCCGGCCCTTGACATATATCCCTATCGATCACGAAGAGGATGAGGCTCTTACGCGTTTTAATGCGACGTAGCTGGCGAACATCGCAACAGCTAGCGGATGCCTTCTGGAAACGCTGGGTCTTAGAATATTTACCTACCATTACCAGGCGAACCAAGTGGTTCATGGATGTTAAGAAAATCGAAATCGGTGATGTCGCATATATAGTAGACCCTAATAACCCAAGAAACTTCTGGCCTAAAGGCAGAATAATCGAAGTCCGGCGAAGTGCCGACGGAAAAGTTCGAAGCGTTATATTATAGACAACCTGTGGCATTTTTGAGAGGCCTGCTGCCAAAATAGCCGTTCTAAATCTGAAAAGATCGGTAAGCCCTGATCTTCAGGATATACCGGGGGGGAGTGTTACGAACGGTCTGGCAGCGCAGTCAACGTAAGTCCTGCTTACTAAGCTTACGTTTTTGTATACGTGGCGAATTGTGATTGGCTAACTAAATTGAAGTGGAAAAAAGGGGAGCAGTCTGGCTCAGCTCCCGCTCAGAAGATAAAAGCTATGTCAGAAACGAAATAGAGGGCAGAGCGACACGAGTAAACTTTTAATTCTCATAAGTTAATTTGTAAATTTAATTAATTATAAATGCATTAAATTTAAATAAAGTTATACTTGAATTGTAAAAATTTTCGGATTTTATTAACATTTTATCAACGACGATAACATAATATAATAAATCGTTATATTTGCTATTACAAGATGCTTAATTAGGGCTATTGTCTATCTTTTCAATACCATTTGAAGAAAAAAAACAGAAAGCCATAGCAATTGTGGACCGGTCTGCTGGTATATGTATGTACTATTTTATTTTTAAACAAATTTACATAACAAACAAGATACATTGATATAAAATGGCCGATAATTTTAATCCAAATATAATTTACCGCTACTTTATGCTTAAATAATACGGAATTTCAATTCCGGTGTAGTGAAATTTTTAAAAATAATTGTGTAGATATGCTTTTCAACTTTGTTTTTGTTTGCTCCTTATAAACATATTTAAAACATGTCAGTGCACTTTTGGTTTGGCCAAATATATCTACAAAGCGAAATTTAAATTTAAATTTCGGAATTTTATTTTACGTAGCTTTTTCATGGATTTGTACTTATCTACATGTTTGCATACAAATATTTTCAGGACTAAACGTTATGAATCAGCAAATAAATATTGGGAATTTTCGTAATCCATATTGATTTTACTAAAATGAATACCAATAACTTGCAGCAATGGTGGGAAAGCACGTATCGCCATCACCAGCTAAAAAATGTTTTCAATCCTAACGACTTGAAAAGCGGCGATTCAACGAAATTAGATCTGTTACAACAGATCGGTAGTAATGATTATGGCGCTGTTATAAATTATACTTTAAAAGATTACTCACATACCGAGAGTGAAGAGAATACCATATCTTCTATGACATTTATTGTTATGGTCATTTTGTTTGGAATTGTAGTATTTGGTGGGGTACTGGGTAATGCAACTTTAATTCTCACACTATGTTCAGCTTCATCAATACGCTTGCGTAATCCCCTACTTATGGCTGCTTGTTTCGCAGACTTAATGGTAACGGGAATATCTGCACCGATCACTATTTTAAACGTATCCTTGAATCAGAAGACTATCACTTTATCAATAATTATTTGCAAAATCATTCATTTTGTGCAGGTAAGTATACAAATAAGATTTAAATACATAGATAGGTATGTATGCACATTTTATAGAATAATAATATTTCATTCCTGTCTTCCAGATTATGCCAGTTGCTGCCAGTACAATTTCATTTTTTATGCTTTCATTAGACCGCTATGCTACCGTGCGCCACCCATGCTTGGCACGATTACGACAACGTCGATATCTGCATGTGTCTTTAGCCCTTTTATCCTGGATTTTATCAGCTACAATTAGTTTGCCATTTTTATTTTCGTACAGAATATTGGCAAAAAGTGCAAAATCTGAGAATGAAGATAACAAGCAATATCTAATATCTTCCGAGACTTCATCGGGAATTACGGAATATACCAAGTTTAAAGCAAGCTCACATTCAAACACAGTTTCCACGAACTTTAGAATCACTTGCATTTCTGAGCTCGATGCTAGTACTATTTTCATTCCGTTTATTATCTTTCATACTTTTGCGGTGTTCATTATACCAGGATTTGGTGTATTGTTGAATCATTATGGTGTACGTCAAAAATTGTGCGCACTATCCTTGACAGCGCGCGCAGCTCACGGTGAATTACCGCTGCCTATGCCAATTCTCCGACGGCAAACTCATATGGTGATTGTAACTGGAATAGCTAACGCTCAACAAGCAGGTGGATGTACCACCGATGATACATCTAATGAGCCCGACATACAAATGCAAAGTTTGAATCCCAGTTCTGTTGTGGGCCGAGGTCACAATTACGTGAAGTCGTCCAACCCCATATCGCCAAGGTATGTGATTTATAATTATCTTGGTTTACGAGTATTTAATTAATATGTATATAATTGACGCTTTGTAACCGCTGGATCATCAGCTTTCTATTTGAAAATGGAAATTATAATGATTCAGAAAAATTAAAATATTTTAAATTAAAAAATCAGTAACATAAAAATTTAAAAATTTAAAATTGTAAGTTAAAACTATATATATATATATATATATGTGTGTCACTGTCACTGGAGGGGGAGTAAATGTAGGAATCTACTTTAACGTTTGTAACTTACAATTTTAAATTTTTAAATTTTTGTGTTACTGATTTTTTAATTTAAAATGCTTTCATTTTTCTGAATCATTATAATTTCCATATATATATATATGTATATACGTATATATATATATATATATATTTAAAAAGTTTTAGTTCACTGGATCGCCAATTATAATATATAGAAAAGTTGGTTTCTATATATAAATATAAGAACTTTAATATTTTATTTTTTTAAATAAAATTTATTGAACATCAGCTTTCTATTTGAAAATGAAGATCAACATATTGAACATTTAAAATCAGTAAGAGACTTGAAAATTACAATTTAAATATTAAACCTGTTAAATGTGTTTTTGGAACAAATAAATTAAATTTTCCTAGCTATGAAGTTAAGTGAAGGTATCAGACCTTCTTTAGAACGTATTGAAACAAATTTAGAATTTGAAAAACCGCAGTCGATTAACAAATTACCAAAGTTTTTAGGAGTGGTAAATTATTACTATAGATATATTAAAATGTTAGCAGCAGAATTAAGTACTCTGCATTAAAAGTTTAACATTTACAATAAAAAATTACTTTAAAGAATTAAGTTGGACAGATGACCCCACAAAAGCTTTGGAAAATGTTAAAAGACTTTTCGCACAAAAAATATTATCGAAACATTTTGGCAAAAACGGTCAATTATCGATTGCAGTAGATGCTTCAAATGTTGCTATTGGAGCTGTTTTACAACAAAAGAGTAATAACACATTAAAACCATTAGCATATTTTTAGCGAAAATTAGCTCCAAATGAAATTAATTATTCCACATTCGATAGAGAACGTTTAGCAATATATAATACAATTGAATGTTTAAAATATTTTCTTGAAGGTAGAGTTTTCACTGTTTACACTGACTAAAAACCACTTACACATGTTCTAAATTCTAAAGCAGATAGATCTCCTCATCAAAATAGACATTTACAGGCCTATTCTGTCGAGGTAACGGAATTTACTTTGGTATTAAAATTTACCATTCAGTAAATTTAAATTCAGCGAAATAGGAGGTAACAAAAATATCTGCTGTTTGATTTTGTGATGTAAATTTGAAAAAAAAAAAAACCAAAAAACCAAAATGGGTAGGCATAATTTAGGTCTGGAATTCATTGAAGATGAAATAAAAGTGCAAAAAGCCGTATTTTAGGAAGTTTTCCAGAAAATAATAAACAAATTAATAAAACTTTTTAATTTTTTTGTGCACTGTCTTCAATTTCGATGTGAATATTTTTCTTTTTACTTTATCAACTGGCAAATGTAATTTGACATGGACGAAAAAACCAGTGCTGCCAAATTTTTTTCAAACATTGTATTCAGTTCGCCAGAATACCAAATTCTATTTCGGGTGTTAAAGAAAAGTAACAAAATTTACTTTACTGGTAACAATGAGAATAGGCATGTTAACGAGTGTAGGGCTAAGGTGTTTGATTTCGGCGGATGCTAGTGTAAAGAAATGCACATATTTTGATGAAATACAAATCCGAGAGTAAAAATTCGAGCTACGATTACCGAAAATTTAAATATGTTTGATTTAAAAAAAAAATTCAATGAGCCAATTTTTCTAATATTCTTGATATGTAATTAAATCTCTAATAAAAATCGGAACGAGAGTTTGAGGCAGAGGTCAGAAAACTCAATGTAAAAGTAAGTGAATACATAACAGAGGCCTATCCAATCACGCCACGTTTTCCAGGATATTTAGGAGTAGAGCAGGTGGTGCTAAATAATACCGTTTCGCTCTTAATGGAGCTCGGTGTGAATAGACACTTTAAGTTCATTGCACATATCGCACATATGTATAAACGTGCATCCATATATGTATGTATAAGTGCACCAAATGACAGGAAGCAAAAACTAATTCCTAAAAGTATGCAGGAGAAATTGGGCGTGCCTAATCAGCGGAAAGCGTTATTAGTAATAACGGGCTCACCATGGTGTAAGCGTAATGAAATTATCCATAATGATCTAAATATATGCAGCATCAAAGAAGGTATTGAAAGCGTAACACAAAAATACGTACTGCGCAGCAGGAGGCTATTGTAAAAAAGATTTGTTTAATTTTTAAGATTTGATAACTTATTATGCGGCTCCTTATGCTGAAACAGATCCTGTAACCAAAATAAAATTTATTAAAAAGGGTGCTTTCATAGGGTACTGCCATTCTGACGGCCAAAGTTCGAGTCTTGGTTCCAAAATTGTAGAAATAATTTTTCGGTAATTTTGAAATAAAAGAGGGGCAGCCGCAATTAGAAAATTTTAATTAACTTTTTTTTAAATTAATGTTCCATAACTTATGGATGTTGGTGGTACCAGGATTTCAACCCGAGCCTGCCGAATGTCAGTGAGCACTGCTAACCACTCAACTACTGCGGCCGCCAGAAGAGGCGGAACTCGACCGAAAATCGCGTCGGCGGTCACAAAGCGCCAATTATGTAATATGAAATTTTATTGCAATCAAATAAAATTTAGAGGTGGCTAACGGCGATTGAAAACGTAAAAAATTTATAATTTTATGGGTACATGTGCTAACCTTTCAACCCCTTTTCTAATTTATTTAATGAATCACTTGTGTCTTTTAAACGTGAAATATGTATATTTAATACACATACATATTTGTAATTCCAATTGCGATGTAAACTTAGGAGCATTTCCTGCAAGAACAGGCTGATGGCTTCACCAATACACTCACACTGTTTCGGGCAGTACTTACCCATAAGCAAATTTTTTTCTTTCCTTTCTCTTCTGAGAACACACAAATTGAAGAAAATGCAGTTAAATGGATTATCCGTCTTATTTTATGTTCTTATTTTCGAGTTGAACGCCATTTTTTTTTCGTTTTCTCTGTAGCAGATAGCAAAGAACGTAAAAAAGTAAAAAATATATGATGAGGATCCTGAACAAGCAGTGGTAATAATATATTGTCGATTAATTAACTATGAATGTACTTAATTTTTCGTTGATTTTTACATTTGTTTATTTAAGAGTACTCCATATTTATTTCATCTTGCAGCAGTAGCAGATTTATAAGTATTCGACCAAACTTTGCGAGGTAGAACTGAATTTAGATATTAATAACATTCTTATTCGAACATTAATTTTTTATTCTCGACCGCGCCTGCGCCTCCATTGGGGTGGCCGACTGCAAGGATTGCTGTGCCTTCTTGTAGTTCTGCCATTAGCATTTCCTCTTCTTCCAACTGCTGGGCTCATGTCAGCTCGACGACGTCATTGTTCGACTCCTCGTAAATTTCAGAGCTCAGGCCGTGCAGCATAGCGTGATGGTTTTCTCCGCACCTCTTGCAACGAATAAAGCTGGACCACACGCTTGCCTTGTGATTAGTTGCGAAGCAATTCGTGCAGTATATATGGTTTGACGTCGTTCTCCACCATGCTTCAGGCGACATTTGACAAAATTGTGGACACAATCTCAGCGGATGGTTTGTTAGGCATACGTGGCAGGTATTCATTGACATTTTCTGCAGATTAACGGAAGAAAACCAATTTGACTAATGGTCTACTGGTAATTCCACGCTGGGCTTTGAAGTCCACAATTTGGGCGTTATGGTCGGTGCCTGGATAGACCTTTTCTACCCTACCTAACCGCATCTCATTTGGAGGTAGATTTTCTTCCCGTATGATGACTAAGTCGTCTACCTGGAAGTTTCTGTGCGGATGTTTCCATTTATACCGCCATTGTCGGGTGGTTTTAGGCTTTGCTTTCGGCAAAAGATGTTTTTTGCTAAGTGACCTCTCACTTCTATGAAACTGCCTCGTGGCAATACGTCGTGAGGCTCCAGAATCAACTCCTGAAGTTGAAGCTTTAAATGGTGGTGAGACGACGTAACGACCTTCGTGATTGCGGAAGGTTTTTTCTTCATAAAGTCGTTCAAATTTCTGTTCTGCAACTGTCATAAATCTTGTCTGTTTGCCTAGTAAGATGTCATTGAAGTAAATACGAACAGTTAAAGGATTTTGTGGTAATTTTTATTGTAAGTTTTTATGTGGAACGGAGCCAGTCAGAATCCAGCCGAATACTGTTCGCTACGCCATGGATGAACCAAGAATGTCGGACTTAACCCCACATAACCTTGGGGTACAAATCGACTTTAAGCCTTAAGTCTCTGTTTCGGAGGGAACCAAGTTTTATGATACACACTTTATGTACTTTCCCGGATACGGCATCTTTTAAACCGGACACATGAGCGCTAATACCTTTACTCGACAGTTTTAGTCTTTTTTGTAATCTCTCCGAGATAAAAGTTCCTTCGGATCCGGAATCTATTAACGCCCTCGCTGTAAATGTGTTATTATTGCGAAAAATCGTTACCACTGTAGTTCCTAATAGCATACCTTGCTTTGCGGAAGTACTGCTTGTCACATTTGCCTTGATCGTTGTCGTATGGCTTCTAGTTGACGTCTTTTGGTTATGTTCTTGGAAATGGTAGGTTCCTCTTCATCTCTCTCCTTATGAATGCTTATGATGCTGTTTTTTGCGTTTAAAGCATGTGTAATTGCTTTTACAATTTTTAAATTCATGAGGCAAAGATGAAGTTTTCTTACAGCATCAATTCGCGGTTTTAAGAATGTGTGCTTGTAAGGAGCACAATTTACAACTCATTCTATTCGGTTTTGTGTGGTGTGTATTTAGCCGTCTGGATGGGTAATTATTTTGAGATGGTCCGGTTCGAATGTTTGATCGGGAATGGAGATTCCTTAGATCTGTCAAATTTTTCCATGCTATCGGGTATCCATCGTGGAACTTTTTGCGCTATTTCCCGTGCTTCACCCCGTGGTGGATCAGGTGGAGAAGTTTTTCCACCGGAGTCAATCTTGGATTGTTCCCGTATAAAACAGTAAACATATCTCTAAATGAAGGAAGGTGCAGATATTCACCGTAAAATACTTCGGTGTCGCATGGAGGCAAACTAATGCTGGGCATAAGTAGCACTTCAGCTATCCGTTCAGGTTATATGGCAGTTGAGTTCGAGTTTTGTTGGAATGCGGTGAGGTTGTGAATGTGTTCACCCATTAACGCTGCACAACAGATATAAGCATTATAGCAATCCGAATACCTTAGCTTGATCGTCTCAAATGTACTGCCGTGACTTGCATCTGATGCATTGGCATTTGACAGACAAGATCGATATTCTGTCTTTACTTCCGCCCATAACGACTTTAATTCTTCTTGTTGAATTCCAAGATTGAAAAGATTGGGAGACGTATGTATTTGTTATTGTAGTTTCTTCCAATTCTAGTCACGCATCTGCTACTTGAAGAAATTTATTTAATTGCGCCATGTTAAAAAAGGAGAGGAAAGAACCTTTTGACTGATCAACAGTCGAAAACCCCAAACATTTTCTAAACGAATTTAATAGGTATATTCGCTTACGATCGCGTATGAAATTAAAAAAAAAAATAATAATTTACTATCGAGTACATATTTTTGGTTGAAACTGCCTCATATCGGTGGGATGGTGCTTGCATAGCACAAAAACAAGGACATCGTTCCTTGCTCCCTTTATGTCAATTGCTAAAGCCAGTTGCCAAAAATAGGTTTTGGGCTTCACTTTGCAGTCATATGTACATATGTATTCGGCACATAGTTACAATTCAAGTTGAAAACACTTTTAAAATCACTCGCTTACCAATTTTTCAGATAAAGGCTGAGTAGAATTGGTAGATTGTAGGTTGTAGGTTATTAAAACGGCAATTTTATATGTATGTTGTTTCATAAGGGAAGGCTCCACTTATAACTTCATAAATTCCTTTATTGGATATCTAGCTCGATGTACCAGTGATTCGCTCCGTTAAAAGCTGTCGTGGTATCCGTTGCAAGGAGTAAATAAATAAAACACAATTTCTAAATAATAATATGTTTATTTACAATTTTTGGGGAAACCAACTTACCGTGATGGTGAATCTGCAAATTTTCTTTTCGTGTGTCAATGAAGAAGTGTGACAAAGCAAACGGCAAAAAAACAAGCCGACAAAGTAAAACGAGCTAGTTAAGCTTTTTAACGAAAGCTCGGCCTCTGTTACCATTACGTTTCCGGATTAAACACTACTACTAGATGTAACAGGTCGTGAAATAGTCGAACGACTTCCGGCTGTTGCTACTTTTAAAAATGGTGAACAATTGATAGGAGGTCCAAATTTCTCCACTGATTGTGTAATCGCTGATGCATTGTATGTACTTGGAATTTGGAAGGGCGCGTTGTAGCCTCTTGCTTTGATACAACTTCGACAAACACGTTGATAATCAAGGCGGCTACAAAAATATTAGAATAAAGCTTGAACGCAAATGTTTATATTTACTTGTCTATATCATATGTATGAACTTTTACTAAGGGCAGTTTTCGAAGGTTATTTTCCAGCAAATACTAGTAAGGAAGTTGAATTATTTCTGCGGTTACAAGAGAACTGGAAGGGCATTAACAAAAATAATTTCAAAGATTTCCTACAAAATAACGTTCTCAATACAATTTTAAATGGCACTAACAGGCCTATTCTCACTGTTACAGGTAAAGTAAGTTTTGTTACTTTTTTTAACATCTGAAATTGAATTTGGTATTCTGGCGAACTGGTTACAATGTTTGAAGAAATTTTGGCTGCACTGCTTTTTTCGTCCATGTCAAATTACATTTTCCAGTTGATAAAGTAAAAAGAAAAATATTCACATCGAAATGGGAGAGGGTGTACTTCAAAATAAATAGGTTTTATTTTTTTTGTTTATTAAATCATAATGATTTAACCTAAATTTGGAAAATATGCCTAAACGACAAAAAAATATGAATAAAAACGTTATCTTCCAAATTGAAAAGGCCATTTTTTTCTCGCAAATTTCTTGGCATACGCCCTTTTACACTTTTTTCCTCATCTTCAATGAATTCCAGGCCAAAATATGCCTACCCTCTTTGGTTTTTATTTTTTCTTAAACTAACAACAAAAAAACAAACAGCAGATTTTTCGTTACCTCCTATTTCGCAGGTAACAAAATTTACAGGGTGACAGTGAACTTAGAATACGAAATGGTAACAAAATTTACTGAATGGTAAATTTTAACACCAAAGTAAATTCTGTTACCTCGACAGAGTAGGCCTGTAAAGATATCATTATTCATTTTGGTAAAAGGAATTAAAAATTAAAATAATTAGAGCCCACTACGGAGAATTTTTGGAATTGACCACAATATACTTAGGAGCAAGCGATAACATGAAATTTCACGGACCGGGTCCTTTCTCATGCACATTGTTTGTTATGCACTTTTATTATACGATTTTAAATCAAGCCTTGGTTAAATCGTTTATCCATCCAAAGCATTACTCATCTGGTTGATGCATTACATTGTTCGGTGGTGAAGCTTCAATTACTGTGAAAAGAAATATTGTTAAAAAAATATATAAACATTGGCAACTCCTTGATTTGGTAACGCTGAATATTTTTTCTCAATTTCTGGATGTAGATCCTCTATACTGGAATAATACGAAAACTTATAAAGTAAGAAATGCCATTGTTTCGATTATAAAAGCTATAAATAGCACTACAGTACGCGGCGTAAAACTTATTGAAGAATATAATAGCATCTTAATAAATAATGATGAAGAAAAGCAATATTTGTTACAAGTCTAAACAATTGAAGTTTAGCTTATATTTTATACACAATATTTATTATTTTATTACAAAGCAATAAAACTCAATACATATTTTCACCATGTATTTGCCTGAAGCCCTCATACTAAGAATAATTAATAATACGGCTAAAGGCTAAAATAAGAAAAAGGTAAAAATTAAAAATTTTGCAGGATCTTAGCCGCTGTGAGCTACCTCTAAATCTTTTTTCTCATTAACCATAAACTTTGTATAACTTAGTTCTTTGGATATTCGGACATTTTTATGGGGTGAGACCCAGAATAGAAACGCTTTTTCCCTCACACATCCTACTAAGGGCCACCCTAATGGATGCAAAGCCGTCATATTTATATTTGAGCGTTTATATCTTCTCTCCTTAGTTCTACTGCATAAGATGCAACCACTTTTTGTGACTTTAAGAATCGAATTAAATATGTTTAAAAACAAAATCCTTTAAATTGAAAAAAAATCTATAATTACATATTACCTTTTGTAGAGCGATGCGTGAAATCCGAGCTCATTCACAACGCCAACGAATAAACCAAAATCAAGGTGCCCTTGGACCTGCAGCACCTGGTATACCATTGCCGCGGACTTCTACATTACACTCACGGCGACGTTTGGCCAATGTCCTCATTGCATCAGCGCTAATATTCATTATTTGCTGGTTTCCGCACGTATTTTGCATATTGTACACTAATTCTGGTTATCAACATTATTGTTCCAATACATCAAAATACTTTCATTTACTATTGGGTATGTATAAATATTCATACAAGAAAAATAACTAAAACTAACATACTTATTAATAGTATTTAAAAGATTTTTAGTATCTTTTGGAATCCGTAAAAGTACACCTAGCCCTCGTTTTGCGTACATGATTGCTTGTTCTTCCTTAAAATTCAACAAATTGCACAAACCAAATACATGAAAAATAGGTTTTGACATTTCGAACGTTCGTTTACACAACCAAAATACATTGAACGAATTTCGTTTTTGACTTTTCGAAACTATAATTGCACAAACAAAAAACATAGGTTTTTTGTTTTTGTATTCTCGCTACTACCGTGTGTGAATTTGTCTTGCGTTGTTTTGGAACCGAGTAGTTAATTTTTTTTTGTAATACTTATTTTTTCCAAAAGTAGGCAAAATTTTGTTTATGATTGAATATTGAACATATCTGCAGAGCACTGCTTACTAGTCATCCAATATTTTTGAAATAGATGGCGTTATATATCTGTATCTCGCGTTGTATAAGTCCGAACTAGATGGTGTTAGAAATATAACATTTCGTACTAAAAAAGTTTTTTCTGACGGTTTTGTAATTGGTTGATTCAGTTTTGTTTGAGTGAGCGCCAAAGAGAAAATTCGTTATATTTTTTCAGTTTTTTCCGATGAAGGCGAAAACGCAAGTCAGTCAGCTGAAAATGTGAATAGTGTTCATGGTCGTGATACTGCCGCTTAGGTGTAAGAGATGGTCATTGGTGAAAAATGCCGATATAAGAATGGAAACCCAGGAATTAGACATTTCACAAAAAAAAGCTTGGAGCTAATTGAGATCGGTAATGGTCATAGGGCAACGTCTTCAAGCCAGGATTGACCGTTTGGAAAATTCGGGCCTGTACTGTCAGCAATTGAGCCGTCTGAAGGAAACAATCGTCCCAATATGCCCAGCTAAGAAGAGGGGAATGTGTTCATTAGGACAACACCAGAAAAAGATCGATATTGACTTGGTAGAAGCTCCGAGAGCTGGTTAGGAAGTTCTTAGGCATTCACCTTACCATCTCTTCCCTTGGCTGTATTGTACCAGGTTTTTGCCAATAGAGACAACTGGTTCTGTAAAAGAGGCATAAAGACATTACCTCCAAATGGCAAAAATTTATCAAGAAAAACTATGATAAATAAAGCCTTCATTTTAATGAGAGAATGACTTCAAATTTAATCGAGGCATTCAAATTGAAATTTTAGTAAAAGACCTTGACAAATAAGAAGGTAGATGAAAATATATGCATACATATGTATGTACATATGTATATAAATCTTTTGTACGTTTTGCATATCTCAGCATCAAGACTTGGCTAAAATACTCAACATTGTGGCGACATATATCCATGTAATGCAACCGAAACTCTGCAACGGCAAACGACGTGCCGTCCAAAATTTACAGAGGAACGTAATAGAATCAACGATGAATGAAAGGATATCCAATGTTTCATATTAAAACATTCTTTGAGTATGTGTCACAGCGAAGCGTTGCAAAGTACAGGTAGTTTATTATATTTTTCAATAGAACACTTAATGATTTACGCTATGACCATTGGAAATAAGATTCACAATTAATCTTATTAACTCGACGCTTGCGTTGTAGTCGATGGTCGGTAAATAACTTGTGTGCTTATTTTGGCCAACAGAGCTAATTTATTGTAGTATATGTTTGCAAAGAACCCAAACATTCATACATACATGCATAAATAATTAGTGAAGTTTTCCAATAAAAATCCGTATTTAAGAGCGGGCGGGACAGTAAGTTCTTTGGATGTTATGGCCTCTCTTCCATTATTTGATTATTTAAGGATTCTTGTAGCCCGAAATGCAATAATTTTGCTTATTTACTCATCATCCGAGTGAGAAATATACCCCTTTGCTGAACAAAATTTTGTTAAAAAAATCGCCGTCCACTACTTGTTGTTCAAGCACCCAATCGACGCATGTACAGTGTTGTGAATGGTCAGCTGGCTCAATTGTTGTGTGAGTTAGACTTTATATGAGTATAGGTGTAAGTCCAAATAATAAGTGCAAAATATGAGTGTATGCGTTTATCATTTTAAATTCGCAAATGTATACTAGAAACTATTTCAAATGTTTAATTGTTTTTTTTTTCTTTTCAGGTTATTCATATTCTGCTATAAGCCCTATCATTTATTGGATTCTAAACCACAACTCGTTGAAACAATCTCCCTGCGCACCAATTATACGCCTCCGCTCTATGCAGAATTTCCTACGAACACGTTTACGTTCCAATACAGTACCACCGCCACCGTCTTCCACTAATGAAGCTGCTCTTGGCGCTTTTAATCCGAAATTGATTAGACTTACTCCAAAGCAATACAGAGCTCAGGCATCTTCTCATTATCTCTACTAAAAAGTCTGATATTTTCTAATTGAGCCTTTTGAATCATAATCTTAGTTAACTTACTTAATGTGACTAATGAGAAAAAATGTTATTAACATTATAATTTTCACTGCGTACATAAATACTTGTACACAATAAACGGATACACTTCAACTCAATTAATATCGAAAATCAGTTACGAATAAGCTACAAAGAGGGCTTGAAACTTACGCATAATTTGTAACATCTTGCCATTAAAACTATTATGTAATACTTAGTATCTAATGTCAAAGGACAAATGCGGAAAGAACGGCTCAAATAATTCAGTCACGAAATTAATTCTTAAATGTTGTTGGTAGTCGATTCAAGTAGTTGGTTACGTTAGCAATATTCGCTGGAAGAACATGCAAAGAAAAGCAAATTTCACACTATTAAGATTAAGCTTAAAAATATTTCCTTTTTAAAAAAAGGAACTGTGAAAGTATATGCTATTCAAGAACTTAAGAGTTTTATAATTTTATCACATCGCAAATGATTTACCGTTGCTGAAAAAACCAACAACATAAGGAACAATTCGACACGTCTTGGTTACAGGAAAGATACTTCTATAGCCATCGTAGGTTAGAAAGAGAAAAAACATCAGTTCAGCCTCTAATAGAAACTTTAAGCATGGAGCAACCGATAAATTTAGAGGTCTTCCAGTACTAGCAGGTAAACAAGTACTTTACACTTTGCGATTTCTCGGTTGGATTGTCCATCAAAGTGACAATGGTAAGTAATTCGAAAACGCCATTTCCCATTTCGAGCTCATAATTGCACTATTTTATAGAGAATCTGCTTGGTTGTTCAGAAGGTACTGTTGGAAGGATAATCAAAGATGAAACATTCGACTCGCTTCTGCCGTACATATTCATTACTCAAATAATGATATACATTTAAATTAATTTAACAAGTTAACTAATTTTCATAAACCGAATATAATATATAATTTCACATACAGAGATTTGTGTAAAAATATATTTTTTTTGTGGTGGAGATTTATCTAAGTATACTCTGGATAGAGCAGGGGCATGAGTGTAAAAAATTAACTAAAAAGTGTTCCATCCCTCGATAATGAGTTTGTATAAAATCTAATACATTATAGGAAGTGATACCTCTCCGAGCTCGACTGCATTACTTCGATCATACTCTAACATGATCAAAATGTGTTTAAAGTATTGGCAATCCTGAGTTCATATCATACACGTTGTCAGCACAATAGGAAATTAAACATATGGCAGCAGATTCATTTCTCGTTGTAAGAGGTATGCACTACATAAGATCATAGTTTCTGTACAAGACTGATACACCAGCAGAGTTACCATGGATAATAATTATAGTTACAGATTTAAATTAAACGTATTTAACTTGCTAATTGGCTGGCTAATTGTTTTCTCAATTATTAGGTGTAGAAAAATGATATCCTTTATTTTTACATGAAATGGAATTCAATTCCTTTTTGCGTTCACATCGCACACTCTGAAAGCGTGAGCAACCATTGTACAAGATGCTGTAACCAACCCGCGTGGAACCATATTGGAAGGCTAAAAGAGATGAAGCCACGAGCCACTCCGAAACATTTCAGCGTCTGCACACATGAAGTATGGCTGTAGGCAGACGTCGGGCTTGAGGCAATTACCACGCAATATAAATGTGTAAAAAATTTAAGCCTACTCGTCCAACGATATTGTTAGCTGTGCTTTAGACTGCGATCCGCCACGTAGAAAGTAGCTCTTCCCTTGGTGATGAGAATCACTGCAAACGTATTATGGACCTGGAATTTCCGATACTTTATCCCTCCGTCGGTCGGACATTTATATACCTTGTATGACTACAATACATTTAACATGTACTTGTACGGGAAATTTGAGTTTTAGGTGTCGCATATACACATATGAGTCATAAATGTTTATGGTTTTCATTTTTTTCTTTTCTCACTGACTTTTGCATGTCTTGAGCTAGCCTCTAATTCGTTAATTTTTCTTTTGTCATGTATCTAACCAATTAGAATGTTGTTGACAAACAGGATTGTGGCATTTTACATAGAAAAATCGAGTTTTGCGTTTTGTCTCCTTATTTTCGCTATGTAAACAAATTTCATTAAGTTTTTTTCAAGTGATCTTGGGCCGCTTTATTTAGCAACATATGCTTCTGGAATCTGAAATGATATAATGAAACATAAACAAACACATAAAACGCGATTGAGGTAAAAAAAATGCGTTACTTGCAGTTGTAGGCTTGCCGAGAAAAGTTTGAATGAACTTGATAGTTGCATAAATTTTAGTTTTCGGCCGCAGGTTTTCGTAAATAAATTTACGAAGGAAATGGAAGGAAAGAAAAAAATGCCTAGAACTAGAACTGATTTTCTTTTTTCTTTAATATTTTCATAATAAATGTAAAATTACATATACAATGGTGTCGCCAGACTACTGGGTAAAATAATACTTTACTATAGAGCCTGTGCTTTTTAACTTACTAATGAATACTTTTAAAATATTTGGCTAGGCAGGAGTTCCAGAAAAATAATAGAAAAATTTTTTGGAGATTATTGTGTGAGTGTTTTTAAGTAAAAAACCGTTGTAACTTGGCGGACTGTGACTGCGCTTATAACCATTTCGTGAGTGAGGCCAAATCAGCGAGACAGGCGAAAAGTGTTTCGCAAGAAACTTGTGTCGCGGGGATGTCAAGGCAGTATAGTGGCAGACGTAGTGCTGGATGGTCTCTTCCTCAACTCCGTCCCAACAGCGGCAGAAATCGTTAGGGTAATAGCCCATCCCATTTCCGTGAAGCCTCATTGAACAGTGTCCAGTTATTATACCAGTCGTTATGTTAATGGAGAACCGGACCAGAAGGATAGACTGTTTTGCTTTTTTCGCGTCCAACTTCAACCATAGCTGAAGGTCACGTAACACGTGATCTCGTTCAACTATCGTGAGTCAGCTTCCCTGGGGAAGGCCGGTTTAAGCATGCCCTTAGCCGTGCACAGAGGTAAACCAGCATCATGTGGGTGTTTTATCGTAGATAGAGCAGTTCCTTTCCTTGCTAGTTCGTCTGCCATGCAATTGCCTGGGATGTCACTGTGTCCAGCTCTGTACTTCATTGAGTATTTATTAAGAGTGTTCCTACAATTTATGGACACTCTTGCCTTGTGAAACTACTCCGCGGCCTGCATGATTGCAAAGAGTTCCCCCTGAGAAACGCTGCTGTGATTCGGTATTCTCATGCTCTTGTTTACTGAGAACACCGGACAATAAATTCCGCAACCCACCCTCCCATCAAACTTTGAGCCGTCTGTGAAGATGGCTATTGCTCCCTGGTTGGGGGCGTTGGTGTTTTCTCACTCGCATCTGTTTGGGGTTCTCGTGGAGAAAATATTATCGAAGTTTACACTGGAGGTGGTGTAGTACAGTGCCTTTGGCACTTCTGTAAGAGATAATATTTTTGTATGTCCTATTGTGGAAAGAGTCATATATTGTACCTCTACATAAATCTAGTAATAGATCTTCAATAGGGAATTACAGTGTGATATCAAAATTATGTTCTGTAACAAAAATTTACGAAGGTAATATACAATAACTGATCAATTAGCTCATTTTATGTTATTGTTGAAATACAGTCCTGTAAGCAACGTACACATGCAACTCTCATTTCTGTCATTGTAGTTACACTTGCTGTTGAACTTTCAAATAATTAAGACCTATTTGTAAACGCTAAGTGTGTTCTGTGTTATTTGTAAGGAAGTGAAAGGCGGGTCGCGTATAATATATCCAACAATTGAAAATAATAGTTAATATGTTTAATTATTAAGTGTATGTTAGAATGAGTTCGTCACTTTTTAACATTGAGAAACTAGATGAGTCAAACTACGATCCATTGAGTGTACAGCTCAAGAGTGTGTTGGTTAACAGTTGCATCGGTAGCGACACTATGTCCAGAAGGAGCACCAGATGACAACAAGTATATCTTATAAAAAAAAAAGATGAAAAGGCGACAGCAACGATTATATTGAGTATAACGACGATGTAGTTAGCCCATGTGAAGAATTGCAAGACATCAAGTGAGGCGTGAAATACTCTTCGTGAAATTCATCAGACAGAGGGGCCAGTGCGAAAGGTCACCTTATTCAAACGTCTACTTGGCATACGTATGAGCGATAACGAGTGCATTCATGGATATTTGTGTAAATTTAATTCGCTGGTAGAGAAGCTTCAAGAAATTGGGGTTAGTATGCAGGATGAGTTCTACGTCATTATGCTGCTTGCGAGTTTACCCAAATCGTTTGATAGTTTGGTCGTCGCATTGGAGTCGCGCGATGAGCTACCTAAGCTGAATTCAATAAAAATTAAATTAATAGAAGAAGCTGTACAAGCGTTTATCGCTCGAGAAAATTCTCAAATAAGGATGATTCGCCGAATTTGAAATCCCGGGGAACAAACAGTGCAAACAGTAACGACAACAAAAATAACAACAACATCAACAGACGCAATAATTTGAAGTTGTTGTGGAAAGAGAGGCTACCTCGCTGCTCAGTGCAGGAACCACAACAAGTATACGAAGAAAAAAGAAACAACAACAACAAAAGCAATGGTCTATTTGCGGCGGGTAGGTGCAGTGGACCAACAAGTGTACTCAGAAACCATATAGTAATGCTGCAAGTCGCGCAAAAGACGTGCTGGGCATAGTACATAGAGATGTATTTGTTGACTTTCATCGATGACAAGACAGGCTACGTATTTGTATATTTCCTAAAGGGAAAAGATGAAGTATTCACTAAATGGTTACAATGGTACAGAATTTGTCAACACATCTTTTGACAAATATTTGAAAGAAGAGGGTATAGTTCGACAACTAACCGTGCCTTATACACCGCAACAGAATGGTGTTGCGGAGCTGTTCAATCGTACGCTAATAGAGATGGCGCGCTGCGTGATAGTAAGTTCGGCTGCAGACGAATCACTGTGGGCAGAGGCAGTTAATACATTTGAGGCTTTTCATGGCTACAAGCCAGCTGTGAGCCCGAAACTAAAGTGATATCAAGAACCTCCTTCCTGGTAGAAGTTACGAAGGTGGGTTTGTTTCCAAAGTTACAAATTCCTAACTCGTTTTCTAAAATGGAATCAAGTAGGACTCAAGCCCGCTATCTAGGGTTCCTGGACCAGAACTAAGTCCTCCGCTTTCTCGCAGAGGCGCAGAATGAGGGCAGCCGACGCTGCTGTGGATTGGTCCAGATTAATCAGGATCTGCACCTTTTCGGGAGATTGAGAGGTCCATGGAACTGACCTCCTCTGCCTCGGGGGGGTTTATAATAGTAGTGTAGCTATCCTCTCCTTCAGTGCCGGTTTCGAGTACATTTTTTCTCAGCGGTTGAAAGTCGTCCCGACGAACTCGGATACCTAGAGCGTTTCGCTTTCAGAATCCTATTCGGAACAGATGGATAGTAAACCCTCTTGCAGAGTTCTCTACTACTCTAGCTTGGCTCTGATGAAGTAGAAGCCGTAGCTTAATTTTCCCCAAGGTCTGCGAGAGCTGGGAGGGAGGCATCGCATATGACAATTCTCACAAAGCGTTGCTTCTCCTTGACCTCGCCAACTTGGGATATCAGCGGTGGGTTGCACCTCTTTGGTTGGATGAGTTCCAAAATATCCTTTTGATCGGCAGGCTCTGCTGGCACCCAAGCTTACTAGGGATCTCCTCTTTCAGCGATAGCCTCTTTGTAGAGTTTTACCGCTCTATCGTCAGCGCACGCCACAAGTTTTACGTGGTCTTTGTGCCACCCTGCGTCGCGCACTACGGGTCCAGAGCCAGGATGTCTTTGCAGTAACCCTTTGTACACCTTACACAGACCCTGATTTTCTTTTCCTTTCCCTTTTCCTTTTCCGTGTCGGCCCATTCGGCCCCATCGATACGATTCCCGAGGGATTTTTGGAAGTTTTGGTGAGGCCGTGACCAAAAGCTGCATTTTTACCCGTCCAGGGATCTGAGACTGGATTGTTTTTGTACATAATAACAACTGGTTTGTTAGTCACCTACTAAGCCGAAACCTTTCGTTGACCGGAAAAAAGAGGAAGAGGATTTAAACGGTCGACTACGGCAAAGCCCCGTGCCGCAGCAAGTCACCATTACTCCCGTAGGTGGACCGGTATCCGGAAGGCTCCGTTAGAGTACAGTAGGACGCCCCTGACTGCATACCATCCATTAGTTGGTCCAACAGGGCACTTTTGAAAGGATGCGATTCCTCATCGCGCACTAACGGTCTTGGTACGAGAGACGTTAATTGCAGCTCAGTTGGCAGCTGTATTCCGCTTCAACGTAACCTGCACTTAGCTCGACCCCCACACTATTCTTAAGTGACAAACTTTCAATTTCACCCAGTCTTTTAGGCAAAATTTTTTTTATGCAATTGTATTTCGATTGCATATTTTTTTGTTAATTTTTATATTTTATTTTACACAGAACGGCCAAACCTTCCAGATTAGACTGCAGCCATGTTTAAGTGAGCATTTGTTTTAATCATAATAGAATTTGTTAATGTTTATTTAAGTTGCATTGCGCATTAACTTAATCAAAATAAGTGAAAATATTTAAACAAATGGAAGTACTATTTGCGTTCCGTAAAGGAAAAGTAAAGAGAAATAACATTTCATAAGGAAAAAATGTGAAGAAACTAACAATTTTTAACAACAAATAACTCATAAACTATAATATATTTAAATTCGCTTTACTCCAAAAGAACATGCGGAAATAGTTACAATGTACATTGAATTCAGTTGTTGCAACACAGCATGCGTATCGAGCAGAGTATCGCGGCTGAGCTGCGCCTAAAAGTGACACTATTCATCCCTTGGCTTCAAATTTCGAGACTCACGGGAGACTAACACAACGGAGTTAACGTTAAAATTCTAGGGAGGGGATATCGACGATCCGCCAAGATCGCCCGAGTTGACAGCACCAGACTTTCTTATGGGGCTTTTTGAAAAGCAAAATGTATGCCAACAAACCGAAGACTTTGGTCTAGTTGAAGAACAACATTCGATCTGAAATCGCTGTGATATCGTCCGAAATGCTGGCAAATGTCATATAAAATCCCGAAAAAGAACGAAGTATTCTTTGCGCAATGAAGGAGGTCATTTGATCGTCGTTGTTTTTCGAATTTAGCTGGGAAAAATTGTAAGCTTTCAATTTGATAATAAAAAAAGTTTATCATTGTTCAAGTTATTCAACATTTCCATTGACCACATATAGATGGCGCACCGTCCAAAATATTGGAAAAAAAGACATCTGTCAAATCATTCCTACAAAGTTTCATGTCGAAATTCTTGCTATACGAGTACGTACTCCCATATGCTTACAAATTTTTTAACACAAGTTTTAAGCTTTGCTTATTTTTCTTTCAAAACTTGCAAAAACTTAAGAATAGGAAGCGCCTGTCCTAGAGGTAAGTTGAGACCGCCATGGTGGGGCTCGGATCTAGCAGATATAGGGAAAGATACTGAAAGATTCTTTAATGCAGCTACTGACATCCCCTCAAGAAAAATATTAGACACCCGAATGATTCTTTTTTCCTCATTAGCCTGAACGTCGATCATCGGATGATTTCCCTTAATGGCATTTAACCTTGCAATGCTGGGGGCATATATTAGTTCCAGTGAATGTCCAAATTTCTAAAAATCTAAAATTATGTAAATTTATTATATACTTTTTTACAGCACATTTAGTTTAACTATACAGAAATATCTTCACTGTCCAAAATTAATGAAAGGGTTAAGCATGTCAGCAGAGGTCAATAATGACGTGATATCATGTACGTGCGTAGAGCGAACTAAAGCGGATGGATATGCGGGATATTTAAGCTGGATTAAAATTTTAACAAAACAATAAAAAATTGATATCTTCGGCCAAACCTTTCCTGAACTTGTCAAATTTTTTCCAGAATAGGAAATTCGACTTTTATGACTTCCAATCAAAACGTTTATTTGAAACTGGGTGTGTAGAATACCAAATTTCATGCTATTAGGAACTTTTTTGATGGAGGTTTGACCAACGTCACATATCTGAATAAATCGGCTGTATGGGGCTATATGATATAGTCCTCCGATCCGAATGACTTTCGTCAATATCTATTTGTAGACACGAGTAATCGGTTAAATGTAACAGTGCATATGTGTACCAAGTTTGTTTGAAATATCTCAAAAATTAAGGGAGTAATTTACGTACAAAAAGACGTACATATGCACATGGCTAAATCAACTTTGCTAGTTATTCTGATCATCTTATTTATAAAAACCTCGTGTCACAGTGTTTGTAACCAACTCCTCTGCCTGGTCCGCTTTTTATGAAATTTTTTGAGCTTATCGGATAAATATAAGAATCGGCAAACATTTGTTAGCAAGAGGACTACTTTTGTTTCCGGGAAGTATACCAGAGACTGATCTATTCGAAAGCTAATTTATTTATATAAACATTTAGAAATATCAGAAGTGACAATAGACCAGGTTTGCTTAGTCCATTCCATAATCCGACAGATGCCATCAAATTTTGACTTAAGTGGGATTTTTAAAGGAAACCGTGCATGTTTTGCACTTATGTATAATAATGATTTTATTTTCCGTTAAAATTATTGTAGACCCAACTTGCAAGGAAACTCTGAAATTTCTCCCTAAAAAGATCTCGGGGAGGAGACTTAAAGATTCTGTAAATACTACCATAGTAATTTTTTTTTTGTTATGAACACATTTTTTTACTCCAACGGGCTGCCTTGAAAGCGGAAAATTATTTTCCATACAGTCTAAGCTACTACTATACTGAAATTATTGGCCTCAACAACCGCGAAGTGAGTTTTGCTTTCTCCAGACTGGATAGGGAAGCGGAGTACAAGAGTCTAGTATTGAACGAGGGCAAGACGAAATATCTCCTGGCATCAAATAGTCATCGTATTCGCGACTCGGTTCCCACGTCACTGTTGACAGTCATAACCTTAAAGTCGTCTATCTTGGAACCAGTATTAACACCAGCAACAATCTCAGCTTGGAAATCAGAATCACTCTTGCAATTAGGTGCTACTGAAAAGTGATGCGACTCCGTTGACTAGGTCATGTGGCCCGAATGGATAAGAATACTCGAGTTTTCAAAGTTTTTGTTGCAGTTCCCCCCCGTGGAGCAGAAGAAGAGGAAGACCTCGCTCCAGGTAGAGAAAGGCCTGCCTGTACTTGGTACCTCCAATTTCGGCTATAATCGCGTAATGGATGTGTACGCCAGTAAAGAAAAAAATCCTTATTTGGATAGTTCTTTTATCTCAAATTTTAACTTACATACTAGATCGGAATGATAAATAAAAAAGTTTCCGAATCGAATCGTAATAGTGCGGAAAAGTTGTTATTTGTTAATACGAGTTGCTATTTGTAATTCAGAGAAAAAAAATTTTGAAATCGGACAATATCTTCCGTTCGCGCATGCACCTGGGATGTCCGATCCCTTAAGTTTGTCCAAGAAGTGCGATGGACGGGACAAGGACGAAAGCACGTATGTCCTTGCTATATATTATATTTACTACAGCGGGCCATTTAAAGAATGGCAAATTCGGTGTCGAGTTTGTAGTGAGAGAGAGGCTCCATCGCCGAGTACTGGCATTCACCCCGTTGTATAAACATCTCGCCAAAGCGAAATTCTTTGACATATTGTTGATTTAAGACGTGAACAGTCGTGGCATTCGCGACTCGGCTTTCCCGTCACTGTTGTAAGTCATAACTTTCAAGTCGTAGATAACTTCGTCTATTTTGGAACCACTATTAACAGCAACATCTATGTCAGTCGGCATTACGAATTTTCTACAGAAAGTGTTGATGGAATGATGAGATGTATGAGATACGTGGCGATATTGATATAGTTCAGCGAATCAAGAAACAGCCGCTGCACTGGCTAGTTCATGTGGTCCGGATGGATAAGAATAGTCCAGCTTTGAAAGTTTTCGATGCAGTACCCGCCAGTAGAAGAAGAGGAGGGGGAAGACCTCCACTCTGTTGCAAAGACCAGCTAGAGAAGGGCCTGGTTGTACTTGGTATCCCCAATTGGTTCCAAACAACGGAAAAGGAAATGAATGGCACAGTGCTGTGAATTCGGCTCTATGGTGAAACGCCAGTAAAGTAAGTAAGTTTAACTTTTCTTATTTCTTGTTCTAATTTAAAAGATTCCTCTTCTTGTTTTACTCATCTTTTAAGAATTTGCTCTGCTTCTCAGCAAGGTAATATTGTTTGCATTGGTATCGAGTACTTTCTTCTGTGTTCTTTACTATGGCTTTCAGTGCATTATTTTCTTAAATCTCAACTAATTTCTCTAATCTCGTTTGAAACTTCAAGATCACTCTCTAAATCTGTTAGTGTGTTGTTTCTGGTAATGTTGCGCCGCGGTTCATTGTCATTCAAACCAAATATAGCGCTAGCTGGATTTAACAGTTTTTCGAATCTCATAAAATTCGCAACAAATTTTTCAAGAGGAGTCATAACCATCTACTTTTTACCCCTCCGCCGATCGCTCTTGACTCTTTCTTGTTGGTTAACTTTTTTCCCTTACTTTAAATTTGAAATTTTTCCACACCTAAAATAGCAAAAGTGATTAAGCAGGAAACATTTGAATTTTTTTCGATGTTTTAAATATACTTTGTACAATCCATCGCAATCCCGGATAGGTATTTCTCTCACATTAATGTTACCGTTTCGTCACTTTAACTGCCGATGACGTTATTATGTTTCCGATCAAAAGTGAGTAACGCGTTGACAGACAAATGCAAGCATATGAACCTGCGAAACGTATGTATGTACATTCTTCTTTGCTTCGCTTTTCTTCGTTGTTTTTGACAGATAAAAGGTTGGTTGTGTTTTGGTGCGCTCTTCGATTGTTTATAATTCGAAAAAATGGACCAAAGAAACTGTATTAAGTTTTGTTTGGGCTTTGGTTTCAATGTCTTAGCCATACACCCATGATTTGTCACTAGTTATGACCTTTTTAGAGGTAATCTGAGATAGCTCAGCGAATCAAGAAACAGTGGCTAGCTGGCTAGGTCATATGGTGCGAAGTTTTCGATGCAGAATGATTATTGGCGCGATATTGTTAGCTCGCTTGTAATCGCATAAGCAGTGCCTATGCCAGTAAAGAAGAAGAAACTATAAAGCTTTATAAGTATTTGAAGTATCGACGTGGTTAAAAATTGTAGTAGAACCGAAGTTTCATATTAGTCATATTCACGATGCTATTGTTTTGAGCCTAGTGTTTTGTATTCGTGATATTTTTGATGAGCTCTGTAAATTGAATTTAATTCTTAAATAAATTATCTTCATGAAGATTTAGAAGAAAATTTTATTCAATTAAATTTAGGATCACTTAGAAAAATTATTACCAAAATTATAAGTCTTGTATATAATAAGTATACATAGTAGTACTTTTCTTCTTATTCCGTGTTCCAGACATCAAGTAGTCTATGAAAAAAAAAAACTTCATAACGAAAATTTTATATTCAAAGGATTTATTTATTGCATATTAAGTAACATAAATTAATATACATATAATATTTTATAGCATACATTCATATGTTGTATTTGTATTTTCATTTATTTATTTTTTAAAGAAAATAAATTATACAATATTTATTTTACTTATGAACTAAAGCAGTGGCTGCTATGGCATTTGGCTTTACATATAATCAAATATAGTATACTAAATTTATAAGGGGGAAAAGTGTGAATATACTGACAAATAGACAGTGGGATATCAATCTTTGCCAGAATATGGTTATTTATAAGTTAAATTGAAACACTTGGTGGGTTTTATTTGCCTCAGCGAAGCGTTCGCTTTATTCTTAAAGTCTTAAACTAAACTTAGTATTACATCGTTTGCTTACATCTAACCTACGGCGTCACGCGGTGCCGCTACTGCTCTGACGCCGTTCTTCCATGTGCTGAATATGAATGTGAACGGAATAATACTGACTCTGGGGCTCGTGTGGAATATTTGGTGTGAACACATTAGAGTTGACTTAGCGGCTCATGTAAGATATTAAATTACCGCGATCATAAGGCTATTTACGACAACTCCTCCCCTTCTAAATTAGGGACGTCTGCGATCCTCGTGGAAGCGTTCTTAACTGCAATTTCAACGGACTTAGCTATGAGGATCCTTCTCTTAATCTCCTTTATCTTGAACAGTACGTAAACTGTTGGCCTCATTATTAACAAAATTACTATAGCAAAAAAAACCTGCAATACCACCTTGGCAGATTGTTCGTTGCAGATGATTGATTTGTTAGAGATTCTGTAGATTCGCGGGATGAAGGTATGAGGCGCTTAGTATCTCCATATGCTGCGTCAAATTGATTTCAGAAGCCCATGGAGTTTCAGGCTTCAAGGGCATTGTTGATTTTTCGTTGTAAAATATCGCGCTATTGATATTTATACTATCTTTGAAGACAACTAAGTTAGTACCGTTGATCGTAATAGGGGCCTCGTTATTTTCTTCAATAACAGCCCATTGATCATTGATATGCGAGCAGGCCATCACTTATCGGTGCAATTGGTGCTAAGTTGTTAAATATTGTACCACAATTAGCGGTGTTGCGTGTCATTAGTCGCAGACCATATGACGTGGCTTGGGATCCCAGGCAGAACGTTGATTATTAAATTTATTTCGTTCTCGTCTAAGAGAATGGAGTTTAACGTGATAGAGGTAATAATGTTATTCAGTTCTGTTATTATTGCTCTGTTTCTAGCTATATGTATGTTATATACGTAGCCTGTGTCTATTTCTCTTCTTTTGGCTACTTTCAGGATATTATTCACTATAATGGTAAGGCTATTAATTTTT